AGACACTCAGTGCAGAGCTTGCCTCACACTGTGGTCTAATTTGGAAAAGAAAGTGGAGCTGCTTGGACCCTCGTATTTGGCTTCTCATTGTGGCTGGAGTTTGTTCACCCAGCCAGAGACTAACAGGCTGAGCATGGGACTTCAGACAATACCACAGCAAATGCTAAACTAGACCTTTATTTATGACAGCTCTGGATGAGTGTTAATTATTAGCTGAACATAGTATGTTCTAGAGGCTGTTTGCATTACAGCATGGGAAGGGCCAACGGCATGTAAAACGTGTGTGTTGGTAGGCAGAACAGCAGAGCAAACCACTTCAGAAGAGAATAAGGTTTTTTTGTTGTTTCTCTTCACAGTTTTTATTTATACACAGTTTTTGTTAATGCCATGAGGGATTTCCATGAAATTATTTAGGAGATTATATATTCAAACGTGATTTATTAAGACAGAATGGATTAATATGGTGATAACGTGGAGCAGGTGTATAGGAAGTGCTGACTACATCAGATATATTTCTTGTTAATAGTTGTTTGGAGTTCTGGGTTAGATGTTTGTCTCTTATGAATCACTGTAGCAGTTTGCAAAAGGGAAAATGATACGTGGTATAGAACAGAATAGTTTGCTAGGCATGAAAGGTATTTGTTGTGATTTTAGGAATGGTGGTCTGAAGAGGCTTCCTTTTGTCAGATTACAAAATTAATACTAGTTCTAGCTCCATAGGATTATTTAAAAGAAAGAAAGAATATTAAAGTGTTTTGTATAGGACCTTGTACTGTTCTTTCAGCTAATAAGCATCACAAATGTCCTATGTTCTTTAGAGTCCTGAAACCATTCTCTGAGCAGTGTACATGTGTTTTGTGGGTTTTTTCACTTATTTATAATGAACTACTTCACAGGAATAGCTATTTTTAAACAAGCTAGCAAAACTTTCATTGTGATGGCTGTAACTATGTACTTTATTAATTTACAATCTCACTTTTAATTGATCTGCCTGGAAATAGGAAAACATAATTATTTTTGTCCTTTGTTAGATGGTAGAGAATGTAGGAAGGGAAGGGGGTCCTGGGCTTGCTAATACTGACCAGGTATTAGCAGACTTCTGAATTAAATCTGTCTTGGGGGTTTGTCCTTGTGATATATGTGTCTTTGTACAATTCAATTATTTGAACATTCTGAGTTAAAAAAATGAACAGGTGAAGAGTGGAAATATAGTGAAATGAAAATCAATTACTTTGAATTGAATGCTCCATGAACAGTCCTCATAGAAAACACGTGGAATGTGGTGCAACATCTGATTGATATAATTTTGAGGTCACCTCCTTATTTGGCCCTGAACTAAATTACTTGAGCAAGGCAGGCAGCCTCCCCTTTCACAGGAATGCAGGTTACTTTCCATAGCTGTTCCACTTGGGTATGTTTGGTATTTGTGTCAGCTTTCGACAAAGACATCTAGCAGCTCTAAGTATGGTGCAAGGAAATGTTTGCACTAGAAAATTGATAGAGAAGTCAGTCGCTAGAATAAAAGTATGCAAAAATTGCTGTACTCTAGGGCTAAATCCTGCTTTCAACTGTGCATAGAGGGACTTTCTGAAAGTCACAGCCAGAAGTAGAAATGCAAGCCACTTGCGATCAGGGAACACCACATCCTTTCCATACTGGAAGAGTTTGCTTTCGTCAAGACTTTCCCATCCTAAGCTGGTGTGACAAGAAGGTGGTGTTGGCAGGACGGGCCAGCCTCACCCTGTGTTATGCTCATTTCTGGCTTGAATAATGGCATGCATACTTAAAACGTGAGTGTGAGTTAGTAATGCTATGCAGGGTGGTGGTAGTACATGGCTTGGTGGTGGACTTGGTAGTGTTAGGTTAATGGTTGGACTCGACGATCTTAAAGGCGTTTTCCAACCTAAATGACTCTGTGATTCTGCATGCATGACTGTCCTGGTGGGTGTTGATTTCTGTCTCTCTTGGTATTAGATGAGCCATTATTGTAACGACGTTGCAGGGCATGGGAAGAAGGGTATTATGGGATCTTAGCATCCCACAATACTTACAGGATCTGATCCAAACTCACTGACACTGATTTGCTCCAGTGCTTTCTGACTACAACCAGAATTTCTAGGTGTCCTAGAAGGAAAAGGTTTGATGAATTTATAAGCAAATTATTTCACTTCTCTGAAAGGCTGATTGTTAGTGTCCCTACATATCTGATCCTGCATCCTTACTGCTCTGTCAAGTTCATGAAGTATTTGCCTACTGCTTATACAAGAATTTCTACCATTTTTGAAGGACAAAATAGACTTAGCTGTGTTGTAAGTGAATGGAAAGTAAAAACAGGATAGGCTGGTAAAATAAATATTGAATTTGTAAGATTGAAATCCATTTAACTCATCCCAAGTACAGTACAGTGCAAACCCCCTGATTCAAGGTCTGCTAGTTATGTGTGCCACAGCACTGTCATGATCCATCAAACGTGCCAGATAAAGAGAGGCTATTTTAAAATTTCTCCTTCAGGGCATGGGGAAGTACTGTTCTTGCAAAGATAGAAATTTATGATGATGCTAAAAAAAATGCAGATGAAGTGAATAATTAATGAATTCAAGATAGGACTGAAATATCTTCCTAAAATGATGCTATTTTTAGTAGGGAGTGCTTCTGCAGTGCTTGTCATGTGATCCTACTGCCTTCTGAGAGCAGGAAAACAATTTGAATTGGTTTCTTTTTCCCCATGGACCTATATAGGCCCAGCATATAATACCCCTTAGCATCTGCTTCTGTCGTAAAGCAAAAAAAGTGATTTTAAACCTCATGCAAAATAAAACACTAATGAAACCTATACTTACAGATAATCTTTATTGCAGCTGAATATTTTTCATAATAGTTTGTACTTTTGAGGCTATACCAGGGGAATACTGCAATGGGTGTAACTTGCAGCTGCTGCTGGTCCAGTAGTACTCATTGCAGCTGCGTTTTCAAGCTGGCAAAGGACATAGAGACAATTATCAACTTGAGGTTGCAGGATCTGGCCCATAGATAAGGGTTTAATGTGACAGATTTGCGCTTCTTTTGCCTATAACCACTACAGAGTGTTGCTGTCTTTGAGCTACTTTGAACATTAAAAATGACACAGTCAGAAATCCCTCTAAAATAAGTTGTTAAATCCACACAGGGTTACAGTCGCTGCCACAGTGAATTCTCAAGTGTTTAACATGTGAAACCTGTTCCTGTCAGGGATTTCTCCTTACTGAGTGGTAATGAGGTACCCATTACCTCATTCAGTCAGAAATCAGAAGCTGCTCACTTGCTGCCTTTCTTGCCTCCTGGAGTTGCCACATGCTGAATTTAGAAGAAACCTTAAAATCCTAGACCTTTAGGCGCTGAGGAGCACCCTGGCTTTGCAGCTCAGTACCCAGTATGTACAGGTGCAGAGGGGTGCTGGCTTGCTTTCCCCACTCACACGCGGTTTGCTTTCCCCACACGGGATGTTTACTGGGTGGCTCCTGTAAGGTGTGTAAGGCTCCTTGGAACATGCTGGGACCCCAGTCCCCAAGCCTGGTGAGCTGCAGAGCTTTACTCTGGGAGCAGAGTGCTTGCCATGCAAATCAACAGTGAAACATCTGGGACACAGCACTTTGGGAAAGGGTTGTGAGCTGAGTCTCAAGTGGCAGAGGTGGTCCCAAAGCAGCAGCCCCAGGGCAAGCTGCAAGCTTTGGTGATGGTGGACTTTGGGATGCTTCTGGATTAAGTCATGGAAGGTGGCTTCTTGAGGGCACTGGAACTTGAGCGGAAGCTCCTTTATTGTGTTCAGGCGCACATTTATGGCTTAGGTGTCACACATGCTTTGCTGCATCTGGTTTTTGGTCTCTATTTTTCCTTCTCTGTGCATCTATCTAAAAGGACTTTTTAAAAATTTCATGTCTATAAAACACATGCATCGTATGGAGCTTTGTAGAAATAATTAGAAGTTGATCCTCATCTGGAAGCTGGGTTTGGTTGATAAGAGCGTTACAACAGTGAGAACTCTTGTTACAAAAAAATATATTGAAGTATCATTATATTTTTTTGTGCCAGCTGAAAAGACTATTTTCAGGCTTATTTTTCCCAGCTTTCCATCAGCTCTCCCATGCTAGAGCTCACCATCTTTTTTCCAGTGTTCTTGCTCAGTCACTTGTGTGAGTCCTTCCTATATAATAGATCCGATTATCAGGTGGCTGCATTTTAAGCAAACCCCACCTATTTAGAGCAAAAGGTTGTAGAGGGGTACACATAGATTGAATAAGTGGGTTAACTGGAAGGAGTGGAACTCTGTGGCCGGGAGATCTCATGAATGGTTGATGTCTTCTGTGTGCCAAGTCAGTGGGACAGGACACAAGGACAACCCTGGTAAGGCAAGCCTGGAGGACTTTTCCTTGCCTAACTTAATCTCAGCACACAGGGTTTGTGTTCCTGTTCAGATCTCTATTGGGTCATGGTTCCATGATACATATAATAAAACCAATGAAGGATAGTAAATTGTGTCTTTTTAAATTAATGAAATGCATTGAGTTCTCCATGCAATGAAAAGACATAGAGACTTTAAGACCATAAATTTTATTATAGTCCTGCAAACCAGTTCTAGTTTTCTTTACTTATGTCTCTTTGTTTGAATGCCTGCACTCATGATTGAAGCAATTAGTTATACAAGTCCGGTAAGGTCTTGTGATCTGCTTGGGAATGATCAAAACTGAAAATATCTGTTTTCAGCATTGTAGTTGCTGTATTGATTTGGGCAATGACACTTTGGGAGAATCATTTTTACTTTACATAGAGTTATCCACCCCTGTGACTGCCTACTGAAATAGCCAGCAATACAGCTTTACATAGCTAAAACTAGGAGTATTGAAATGTTTAATTTCACCATTTAGCAAGGAGGTACCTATTTCGAGATATGAAAATAGTGATTCCTTAACAAGTAGCTTATTTTAGTGGCTATCTCCTTACTGCTTTTTCTTTTCTTTCCACAGGAAAAATTAACGCAGGAATGTGTATTCAGAGAGCAATTTGAAGAAAACTGGTATAACACATATTCATCAAATCTATATAAACATGTGGACACTGGAAGACGATACTACGTTGCGTTAAATAAAGATGGGACTCCAAGAGAAGGGACTAGGACTAAACGGCATCAAAAATTTACACATTTTTTACCTAGACCAGTGGACCCTGAGAAAGTACCGGAACTATATAAGGATATTTTAAGCCAAAGTTGACAAAGACAATTCCTTCACTTGAGCCCTTAAAAAGTAACCACTATAAAGGTTTCATGCGGTGGGTTCTTATTGATTAGCTGTGTCATCACATCAGCTCCACTGTTGCCAAACTTTGTCGCATGCATAATGTATGATGGAGGCTTGGATGGAACATGCTGATTTTGTTCTGCACTTAAAGGTTTGTCCTCCTGGAGGAGAGCCTATGCCCACTCGCTTGATTTAGTACGAGAGGGAGCGCGAGAGAGTGAGTGCGAGAGAGAGAGAAAGAGAGAGAGAGAGAGAGAAAGAGAGAGAGAAAGGGAGAGCATGAATGGGAGTGAGAGCGCGCGAGAGAGAAGCCAAGGGGAGGAGGAGGAGGCTGAGGAGGAGGCTGAGGAGGAGGAAGGCCTGATGCATGCTGGGGAATAGACACGCTTTTAAATTTTTGATCAGTTGTACTTCGTCATATATCAGCATAGCTGCCATACTTTGATTCATCAGGACTTTTGGCTGGTGGCCTGCTCAAGTGTACGCTGCATTTACAAAGGCATGGAGGGTGCAGTCTTACTTAAACAAGAGACTTTTCAGTTAATCGCTCTCTGGGTCTCAGCCCACTGAGCTTAAAGCAAAGACCTCTTAGTAAAAAAAATAAAAATAAAAAGTTAAATTTATTTATAGAAATTCCAAAGGCAACATTTTATTTATTTTATATATTTATTTATTATATAGAGTTTATTTTTAATGAAATATGTACAGGCCAGATAGGCATTTTGGAAGCTTTAGGCTCTGTAAGCATTAAAATGGCAAAGGCCACTATGAACCTGTGGTAAATTCATGCAAGTAAATATAAAGGTGCATGGATAAAAAAAACAACAACAATAAAAAGGTAATAATAATAATAATAATAAATTCTAGTGACCCTCATGTACTAAAGGCGACAATCTCTTTTGTGCCCATATTATTGTACAATTATGCACACCACTCATGACACTGAGTCCTCACTCTTCTGACTGCTTGTTTCATAGCTTACCCCAGAGGATTAAAGAGAAAACTGGGTCTTCAACCTTTTTTATGTGTCTGTAATATTTCCTCTCTGATAAAATGACCTCTTACATCACTGTAAATTTCACAGCTGTGAAAAATATAGGAGTTGGAATATATTCTACTTGTTAAAACCTATTGCAGATTATACCAACGCTAAATGATAAATATGCTTTTTTTTCTTCCTAAAGAGAATGCCAGAAACAACATGATAACAACAACATTTGTACTAATTTTAAGATTCCACAAAGAGCACATAAAGATTTCAGAGGGCAAGAACCAGGTTAACAGGATCACTCTTGTAAACATGTTTATTTGTGCACTTGACTATCTACTGTGAAATTATACAAGTTCCGTAGGGGTCATTGTAATATCTTTTATGGAAAATTGCTTTCAGTGTGAACTGTCATAATACATGATATTAGCACCCTTTCTAAAGTAAAACTTGCAAAATGAAACTAATAAATCTCTATCAATAATAACAATGAGGGGGACAGTATTACACTTATTTTTATTGTTTTTCCTAAAGTATGTTCAAACATTCATGAACCTTAAGTGAGGTAACAGTATGTAATATTTAAGGGTTTGGAGCATTTTATGTTAATAAATGCTACAAACACATTGATTAGCAGTTACCATTTGGAAGTTAACCCTTAGAAAGAGGCATTTTTTTCCCCAGCACCTTGAAGAAAAAATAAAAAAAAAGACAAAAATCATGTTAAGGTCCAAATGAAATATGCATTTTGTAGCTGTTGTGCCCCTTAGGATTTTAATCCAGTGCCATTAAGTTGAGTGTACCCTTTGCCATTGGATATGTCGGGAGCAGGGCTGGTCCTGACACCCTGGCTGTCCACAGAGGCACAGGGGCTGAGTGCAGATAGGCTTTGGATGGAGCAATACGTAAGTTCGTAGCCTATTCATAATTATGAAATTTTTGCTCTAAGGCACTCTTTTTAATCTAATTTACATTATTTGAAACTAATTTCTGTTCTGGAATAACCTCTGACTTGGTGTCCTGAGCAAACGTGCCCTTTCTGCACTCAAGCAGGTAGGAGGGGCCACATCTCAAATGGCGATATCAGTAATCTTAAATAAAACATGGCATTTTATTATAATTGTTTATGAATGATAAAGATACTTAAATTACATTAGTTGATTTGTAGTATACAGTTAGACATACTTGTCTAGGGACTGTTATTGCCTCGGAATTTACAGCCTTGAACTGCAGCCCACGTGTTTGTCTCTGGCCCTTTGGGGCTGCTGAGACCTGCAGATATTTTGGCTGCTGCGGGTCAGTTGGATTTGGAATTGTTAGTCTGGGCGATGCAAAGACTGTTGAAGAAGAAAGGGAGCCTCTGGAGAGAACTAGGGTTCATTGCTTAGTGTTAAATGGGTCAATCCTACCACAAGGAAGAGAGGCTACAACTCTCTGCTGTTTCAGTAAATCTGACATACACAGGGAAATTATTTGGAAAGGTTAAAAATATTCTGAGTTGAGGCCACAATAGTAGGCCATGGTTAGAGTCTTAATGTTAAATTGAATTGGATTTTTAGCCATAGGCAAATCATTACTACTAGTTAACATGTTTAATTTAATTTATTTTTTTTGTATTTTTCTAAAGAAAGGATTAAACTCAAGAAAAATGTTATGAGTTTATGGCAGTCCGTATAAATAAACTGTAACCGATTTACTCGAATAACACGTAATGGTGTGTAAATACTGACTTACTGACTTTATGTAAATATAGAAACATGTAATTTAACTTAGGCATTATTGCAAGACTGGAAGGCCCAGGAGTTGGCAGTTTGCCACTCCCTGCAGGTTCACTGGGTCAAATTTGGCCTGTTTCAGGTAGCGAACAACAGATTCTGTTCAGTCACTGGTGTAAAATGAATTATTTCTGTTTGTTTTCTGGTGGGGAATGGGCAAAACCATCGTCACCTGGGTGCTGATAGCTCCTTTGCCAATGCATGAAGGGATATGGATGCCCTCCTGCTCCTTATGTGATCCTGCTAAAACAGGGTTGGAGAGAGCTGACGTGGCAAAGCAGGGAGGCTTGCAGTGCCTCTCCTCCTGTGCTGTGGACAAACAGAAGTCTTCATTTTCTAGTGCTGTCCATCTGGCACCTTTCTCAAGCACTAAAATTCACTTGAAGAAAAATCTGAGGGAAAAAGAAAAGAACAATATATGTTATTTACTTGATATTCTGTAATGGTGTGTAAATACATACAGAATTCTGTAATTCATATAAATATATTGCAATAGAATTTTGCAAATTGGTATTATTTGCTTGATGTCCCTTCAGAACATTTTGTTATAACCATGCACATGTGTAATAATGGGATGGTAAAACGAAGTACTTGCTTATTCCTAGGAAGTGTGTGAGAGTATCCCCAGAAGGCAAAAATCATCAACATTTTCTGTCTTTTTGCTAAATTGGAAAAAAAGCAGGGAAATATATTTTTGTCAAGAATTGTATTATCATTTCACCTGAATCAGGTCTGTCTGGGGAAGTAGCATGGACAAAAAGGTGGAGGAGATCCAGACCAGTGTTAAGGCATGGGCTGATTTTGAGCTGCATATGCTGATGTGTCAGGCCCGCTCCCAAACTTAAGTAGAGTGGAGGAAACCTGGCAGAGCTGGGCAGTGCAGAGAGTGGAAAGAGAAAAATGCTAGGAAAATTGTCTTAAATTGTCCCCAGTCAGTGCTGAACTTAAACAGCCTGCTAACTGGATGGGAAAAAAAAGGTGTCTTGTGTAAATGACTGGGTGTAAGATGTGGAGGGTAGAGGTAAGACTCTGGTCTAAGAAGTCAAGCATTGCTGTTGTCCTCCTGAATAAAAGAGAAATGTGTGTTTAATAAACATAAAAATAGGAGTGAGTTGAAGAGACTGCTTCTGAGAGAGTCTCTAAGTTTCTTGGGAGACAGAATATGGCAGGAGGTAAGAGAAGATGCTTCTGCAGCATGTCTTTCAGAGTGCCTTGCATCATCATCTTAGCTTATGCTCTACTCTGCCTCTTGTATCAGATATAGAAGTGACTATAAGGTCCAGCTCTGTTACTCATGATTATAGGAATACAAATAGATGGGCTGTGAACTGTGCTGAATGTCTTTTTGTGTGAACTTCTGTCCCAGCTAGTGAATTCTCACAAGGTCTCTGTGAGGTACGCTAGCAAACCTTGAGATGTGACCAGGCTCCTTACAACTGCAGTTTATTTTGCAGGAATTGCAAGATTTTTGAAATTTTGATGACATCTTGGAAACTCAGCCTCCTACTGATGTAGCTGTATATATGTAGGGAGCTCTATTTGTAGGTAGAGAACCTGGGGAAAGAAGTAATCAACAACGTTGTCCTCAATATTTCATTCCACATGGCATATCATTTACTGATCTGAGAACAAAAACAAGAAGACTTCTGTTTTCCAGAATTTTATCTCTGTTCCTAAGCTGTTAGAGCTCTCCATGGGTTGTTCTCAGGTCAGTTCTGTCCTGCCTTCTTGTTATCTTTCAACTTACCATAGCAAGTTGGTTTTTCCATCCGGACCCTAAGTAAGTACTAGTAATCAAACCTCATCTCCTCTTGCCAAGAAGCTGGAACAGCTTGCCCTAGAGTTTGTTGCTGAACACTTTGGCATTGTGAAGTGTGCAGAGCATGGCTAATTGGTATCTTAAATTTAGGTCTGAAAAAATTTACCCATCCAGGATAAGAAAGATAATTAGTGATTATAAACAAAAAACTCTATTGTGCAAGGTGTCTTCCCAGCTCAGTTGCAAGAAATTTGAAAGCAGAAAATGTTTCTTCATGTTCAGAAAATTTTAAATGAGAATAAGAAGCAAGTTCCACCTGCAAAATAATTTATAAAAGCCAGTCTTGTTGCCTTTTCCCCTGATGGTTGCTTATTTTTAATAGCTTGTGTGTGTGTTTTCTTCTACTCAGTGATATTGGAAAAGATTCTTTTATTTTTCATTCATGATTTCTGAAGTCTAGCTCTCTTTGTATAATTTTTCAGAGTTATTTTGGTCTGAACCCCGGGGCAGGAAAATTACCACGTGATTCTGGGTTAGGATAGGGGATCACACACTTTACAAAGATGCTGCTGTTGTGCTCAGAGTAGCTGCTACAGTCCTTGTCTTACTGTAGCTATCACATGGAGAACAACAACATTATTTATTCCTTAATATTTCGTATGTTGTTGTTATTATAGAAGAGATCTTTTTAAATGTTCCTCAAGTCATAGCAGCTTTTTTTAACCCTCATCTGTTTCTTGAATACTTGCTCACGAATATCCTATCATAGAGAACTGTGTATAAATTAAAGTTTAGCCACATATTGCTTAGTTATGCAGAGGGATTTTGCCTTGTATCAAAAAAAAACAACAATAACTTTTTCTTGAGCTCAAGGGAAGTTATTTTTGTGTGCAGTACTCACAAGTAGCAACTATAACGTAGTCAAAAGAATTCTGGAATTAGACTGAACTGTCAAAATGTTTCTCACATATCTGTTTTCTTGAGAAATCACAGACCCCCAAATTATGGTGATATGCAAAATATGCCCCATAGATTCTTTTTTCCATGTCCAGAGGGCCTGGATTTATGTATATCTTACTGTTGGAGGCAGTAAGTCTAGGTGAAAAGAGCATTTCTGTAATGTTGGAACTCATTCATTTTATTGACAGCCTCCCCCTTGCCCCTGTAAATAGTAACTTTAGTTAAAATTATTATTGTTATTTTTACCCTTGTTGAGAAAGTAGATATAAACATTGAAACAGTATCTTGAAATATTCCCTCACAGCTGTGCTTTTGAATGCATACCTCTTTCTTTTATATTTCTTATGTAGTATGATTTCTATTGTTTTTCAGAAATCTTCATCCTTGTTATGAATGTCCACACTCTGAATTATTTGCAGCCAATTTATGTACCTCTGTCTTCTTTGGTTAAGCCAATTTTCTCTTTCTGGACATCTTGTTTTGGCAGGCAAGGCAGTATCTTTTCAACTAGGACTCTTGTTTTTCCTTTTCTC